TTGCCATCTGACACACTTCCGGTGATGTCAGGGGGTGTTGCATATGCAAATAAGTTATGCTAATGAGTTATGCTAATGAGCTCCTGCACCTCTTTTTCTATGAAATGGCCCCTGGTTGAATCTAATGGGAAACTAGTTTGAACAATGGCACCTAATGTTATTATGTCTTGTGCTGGCCAGAGGCATTGTTCTCTTGTTGTTTTCTGGCTGCAATTTCGACTAGGTGATGTATTAGATGGGGGAAAACATGTTGCCTACGTGTACTGAGGGAGACTCTTCATGGAGCTTCGGTCCCCTGTCTTCTGGCATGGCATGGCAGTTGCCTGGCTGCTCAATGCTGTATATGGCTAGGGAGCTGGTTCACCTTTCCTGCAAGTAAGGGGGTTGGTGACATACAGGATCCATGGGCACTGCATTTCACAGGAAGGCTTCCTTCTTCTGAGCGTGTGTCTGTAGCTGGAATCTTTTGGAGTCACCTTATAGTTCAGTCCCTTTTGCTCACAACTAGCACAGGTCAGGTTTTTCATAACTTATGAGTTAACAAAAGCACAATAGGGGCCTCGTAGGGCAACACCTTGCCATGGATAAATGGACCCAGCTTTTTCATGCAGCCAAAAGTAATAACTGTATAGAAAAATTGCTTTCTGCTTTCTATATCCACATGCCTTCTCCTGTGATTACATTATGATAACATGCTGTGTCTTATTTCCTGTTGCAAGCCAAATGGTGAGGCCACATGGCCTCAATAGCCATGCCATAAACCCACATTCTTTCACACCTTCATGCCAAAAGCCAGACCTCATGGCTCCACTTCCTGGCCCACATGTGACAAGTCACGTACACAATGAAGTAGCTGGAGTTTGGGGTCACATGACTGCAGGCGGGGTCTCCAAACTCCTAGCCAATCTATACACACACCTTATGTGCAGCTATGGCAACCTGAAATTGGCCACACACCCCTGCTGCTCGTGATTGGCCGAATGGCCATGGCTAATCATGATTAGATTGGGGTATAATTGTTTGATCCCTATGGGATCAAGGTGGGAAAGGGCCCCGTTGGGGTTCATGGCACCTCTTTCTCCGCTCTCCCTGTTCCCAGTAAGTGCTGGTGTGGGGTGGCCACGGGGCCTTAATGGGGGGCCATGGGGAGTGGCGGGGGCTTGATTGGGGGGTGGGAGAGCCTCCCTCTCCCATCTCTTTGCCCTCTTTCTTTCTTTCCCTCCTTCTTTCCTTCCTTTTTTCTTTCTTTCCTTCCTTTCCTTTTCTCTCTCTCTTTCTTTCA